TAAAAAACTGACGTCAATTTGTTTTTTACAAAAACAAGACCCCAAAATGGCCAAATGCCGGGATAAATGAGGGGAAATGCCGTAAACAAAGATAACTGAATTTCATTCAAAATGACGCGAACATTGTCAATAGCTTTTCTCGCTTTTTGATTGGCTACTTAAAAAAAGCCCACAAAATATCATTGGTTAAAAAGTTGACAGTTTGACAGCTGAAAGTTTAACTTGAGAGCTTGCTTAAATTAAAATTTTATCCGTCTGTACTCTTATTGATGATAAAAATGAGCCAATCAGCGCGCGGGAAATTAGACCGTTATTGTAAAAAAAAAAACTTGATAGAAACACGGTACATGTTTTCCATTTCTTAAATATTGCGGGGACAACGCAAAATCTTGCATGAAATTCAGCTAGCTCGAACTCGTCGGTCACGAAGAAGGGACATTATGACCCCAGTTACGTTGTAATTGTCACATCGTGAGTACTGCTCTTGTAAACTGTCCCCGCTATAACAAAGAAATGAACCAATATCCTCTTCGTGTGCAGCAGCTTGCTTACTGTCCCTGCAACATGGGTCCTATGCGTACACACCAAGGAGCTTGTCCCCGCTTCACGACCCCGCAACATGTCCTTAGTGAGTGCCGACCGACCTTTACACTTTTTGAGCTTGCCGCTCTCGGTTCTAGTGAATGATAGAATAAAAGTCACTAAGCCAAACCACTTGCAATATTTGCATAAGCACACCAGTATAAATTTACTCCATTTAGATAGTGCGACGCAACTTTAATGAGAATGAAGCAAGAAACTACAATGGCAGTCAGTTACACTTACCGCTCTCTTTAACTTAACTTAACACATTGCCAAATAAGAAGTTATACGACTTTTCAGTACACACTCTGCTCATAAGGAAAATGGCGGAATGAATAAATATGACTGGCTACACTCTCACAACATTAATAAATTCAAACTTATGGTTAAAAAACTGACATGTGCATACGTGATGCACTTTCCAGTGATCTACAAGCTCGTATCTCGAGTCTTCGCTCCTTTCTGCGCTAGCGAGTGACTCGCGAGAGTTCTGTTGCAGGATCGATTTTGATTGGTTTAAAAAAAACAATGAAAGCGACCAGAAGTAAAACAGCAGGGACCTGATTAAGGCACATGATTTTCAGCAAGGCATACGCAATTCAACTGGAAGCGGGATATTTTCGGATTTCTAAGAAATACTTTCCAGGGTCACTCGGTTCTTGAGTGCTGGTCATGGGGAACGAAGAATCTGAGTTCCAGATTGAGGTAACCCTTGTTCCAGAAGGTCACTTGTTTATGTTTCATTTCTTTGCAGCCGAGATTATTTACAGATTACCAATGAGAAGAATCGGGTGTTTGGCAAGTACTGTGGTCACATGATTGGAAAGAGAGTTCTTGTATCTGGAAAATACGCCTTGATAAAATTCCACTCAAACAGCAATATTCAAAACAGAGGATTTCTAATGGAGTTCTCAGCTGTTGTGCCACCTTGTAAGAAATGATAATTGATATGGATTTTGATGCTTTTATGATTGAGATAATAACTTTAAAACGTCTTAAGGCACAGAAGAGAGATATTTCTTGAACAATTATAAACCAGAACTGACAAGGCCGAGTAGGCGTGTATTTGTAAGAGTGACTGCTGAGGACGATAGAAGTTGATATAGAGAATCAATCAATACAATGAATAACGATCTCACAATACCTATAGACTTAGATAATGACTTTGAAAAACGATGCAAATTTGAAATTTTGCAACACACTCTACCAAGCTTTGGATTCTCAAATTTTACATCGAGATAGCCTCCTTTAAGACAAGTGAAATTTTTGAGTGCCCAAAGGAGTTTTTATCTTGTACACGTAAGGAACAATTAACAAAAACTTTGTCCCCCAGTGTCGCGAGGACCTCGATGACAGAAGTCCGTCTTGCATGCGGCCATGATATAGACTCAGTGATTTGGGTTCGAAGTCTGACTATAGGGAGGCTGTCCCAAAGCATCATCGGGCAAAGACATTATCGGCAACCAATCAGAGAAGACCGCGACGTCAGCATACGTAATTAGATACTTACAGTTTTGTTGGCTTCCCCAGTCCCCCTTTCTTAAGGAGAGCACTAAACCCTAAGATCTCACCATTGTGGGTACTCCCCGAGGGTTGGCTACCCCAGTTCGAGTACACCAAATTCATCTCCCACATAAATAATTTCTAACATCTCATTTAGAGTTGACAGTTATTTATGATAATACATTGTTCGTGGCTAGTCTTATGCAGCTCGTTTCGTCCCGGCCAAGGGACCCATTAGAGACCTTTCTGCTTGGCAAACTCGTTGGGCATCACGCCCAAATTCCTGTTCGCTAACAAAATTATGACAGCAATCTCGCCTTATATCGTGCAAGGATTCCCGACCGCATTTCATTTCCACGAGAAAAACTGGAATACGAGTTTTCCGCAAAACTAAGAGCAATAGTGTGGTAAGAGACAATGTCTCTTGAGCATGATAATTTTCA